CTGCAGCGTATGTGAAATGTTTTCGGTGTCATAGTTGATATCAGTTGACCAGTTTACCACTCAATTTGTGCTCTCAAATGCCCTCCGGAATGCATGAATAATTCGCTGAATTCAGTGGTCACGGTAACTTGACTGTGGTACATCTGGTGAACAAACCCCAAACATTAGGACATTCTCGTTTATTACTTATTTCCAATTGAGGATGATAGGTTGTTAACCATTATTTATTTTTGATACATTGATTCTACACTAGCCGATGAATGATCAGTTATTTGGAATGTCATATTCTTATGCCTTCAGTTCGACCGTTATTTTGCAGTTTTACTAAGGTTGTCATTTGATGAACAGATTAAATCGTTGTGGATACAATGCACTGGACACTGCAATAATGGTTCGCAATTGGATTGAAAAGTAGTAGATGATTTGTTCCGAACTGTTCTAAATACAAATGTGTTTCGAAAATAGCATCTTTTCGTGATTTTTGACAAAGCTTTTCCGAAGCTGATTCCTTGCATCGTTACTGAGCAATTGATTATTTATTTTCTCTTAGCAAACGATTGATCTTCCCAGGTAGATAATAAGATATTGCTCTTCTCCACCTATCAGTTCATGGCTCTGGATAATAGTCATGTTTTTTTTACAAATTGATTTGACCCTTTAGTAACAAATGAATTCTCTGAATTAAATTTATGCCTTGATCCCTCCCCATCCATCGTGCGATATCGTGACCAGTACGCGTTGACCTGTTATATCTTACATCGGGATTGTTTTCGACACATTCCCAGCCTGATACGACGAGTACATCGGTTATACGCCTACCTGTTTGCGCGATTCTGTGAATCAGATCTCATCGCATCCGAAAAAACTCATCCGTTCGACTGGTCCTCGAATCATACGGGGGACAGCGCCACAGCCAGGTCATCATCGGATCATCCAGATGTCGTGCGTGTATTCCAACGTTTGTGGGACAAGTTGCGCGATTTCGTTGTCGCCAGCTCACAACTATCTTCATCTTATCTTCTCAGTTTGGTATTTCGATCTCTCCTGTACCAAGCATGGGAATCGGTCGATCGAGATGCAAGCATCGTGAATGCTTGGTACGCATGTGCTCAGGTATGTTTGTGTGTATGAGGAAGAGAGAGAGAATAAAAGAGTTTCCAGGTGGGGAGATCAGAATGGTCACTTCAAAAAGTTAGTTTTACCGTCGCAATACGATATTGCAGTTCAACAACGATAGGAGATCAATTCGTAGTTTGCTGCGTTGCGGTGAATTCCCATCCTGATTGGTTAAGCTTAGTTCATACATTTTCGCCCATGCCCGTCCATATGTGCTTAGTAATCTTATGCACTTAATCGATCTTCGAATATTCTATATGATCACCGAAATTTGATTTCGGTGATCTCACTGGAACTGTGAAAGCAGTTTCCAATGGCTCAGTTGTTCTTAGGTGTGGGCAGAAAGGCGCGTTCGTTGACCGAGTACACGGACTGACAGCTGTGCGTGTTCACGATCATAGGAATGCGTACATGCATACGGTTATTGGCTGAAGTTAATTAAAGCGTAATGTGCTTTGGGACTGACTCACTTGTTTGGAGCATAGAACCACGGAGAACTGGGCGAAACGAAATGGCTCATTTTCATGTCCTCTGTCTTGATATTCTAAAATGTAGTGTTTTGTTAGCAAAGAGCTCAGCTTTATGAAGACAACTGTACAATTAATTTTAAGACTAAGGGGAATAGTCAATCAGAATGCTGATATGGGGTACACAAAGCCATGAACATTAATACCGATGGGGGTTAGGAGGTTGGCACACACTATTTTTGCGTTTTTTTGTTAGGTAAAGCTCTGGGCACTGAATGCCAGCAGAATCTAATATCGCCAGGATTGAGCGAGAGAACGTAGAATATGTTCCTTGCTAATCGTAATACAAAATGAGTTGCTCTTCTCAAATACTGTGAAGTGCATTGAAATCATCTGCATGCTAATTGCTTTATCACTACTTCACTCTAGTCTGCTTCCAGTGCATCTACTGCTGAAAAAGGTCAATTCCTCGGAGTTGATCAATCCACTGAGCACCCCACAACCGGGATCCATTCTGTCCGTTCTTCGAGTCCTGTCATACACACAGATAGCTCCTCTGTTCCGCTGAAACCAGTCGGCTCTCAAGCGGTCAAACCAATAATCCCGTTGTCCACATTGAATGCGCTCGTCGATCATTGGCATGACACATGCACTCGATTGGAAGATCTATTCACTCTAGGCCTCCTTGTTCAGTTGCCCGCCACGGATACCCACGATTTTTCACGTGATCCGGACTCAGCGAATGAACCTCAAGTGTTCCCGATTACTTTGAGACGTGCCTTCAATTGTGGACGTGGTTAGTCCCGCTGGATTGTCCGGTTTTGCCTCCATACCGATGTTGTTCGTTTTGTCTGATTCAGATTGTTGCGTGTTCCATTTGGCTCATACATTCCTCAGTAATGTGTTCAACCATATCATTTTTCACCTAGTCTAGCCGAATCGCCTTTGATTAGAATGTCCAGAATGCCATTTGGGGGCACTGCATCGGCCAAGGTGGTCTGTATATCGCACGGTGACAATTTTCACATGGATTATTAGCTCGCAACGACTCGAGCCATGTTGTCATAATAGCAATGGTTTCTTCTCTTTCTATCCGATTGCCTGTTTCAATTTGTGCCAGCAAGCGAGTGATCATCTCATTAGGCACAACTCGGTATGTTATAACTTGTTGAAAACTAGAACCGATCGGTGTACCTGCTAAAACAACAATTAAACACGAGTTTTTACTTCAAGGACAAACGATGTATTAGGATTGGCAACTGTTTGGTAGCACAGTAGCATTCACAAGACGGATAATGTGCTCTAGATCCAACACAATTTAGCTTAATACACCATGCGATACGAAAACGACGGGCGGAGAGCACCAATTTGACACAAACGGACGGCGTGAGCAATATCAGACGGTGAAAAAAACATGTCGGATAGGTCTTAAAACGACTACCTCAGTTGCTACGATAGTAGTCTAACTCCAATTACTGCACAGTATGGCACACCCGCTGGTACTGGTAGGCTTCTCCCATCTACGAGACCACACAACAGAACATGTATTTCAAATGGGAACCGAATGGAACCCTCAGCTTCAGCTTGCTTGTTTTTGCATGTATACTCTTCTGGCCCTGGGCATATTGATCTTAAAAGTTGATGCCAAAAGAGGGAATTTACAGAATTACCCTCTCAGCGGAGATATCTAAAAAAGTGCTGAGAAAAGTATTAGAACAGTACCAGACAAATATCAGACAGATAAATATGGAAATAGTTGAAAAGTAGATTGGTGGTTTTATGTAACAAAACGATACCTTTTGGTCAACAGAGTGAAACATCCTGTGGGCGCAGCATTTGTACTCGGGACGCACAGAATAACTAAATATGAAAAAACTCGTGCCTCTCATACTAGGCTAGTCAAAAACTACTGCCCAGAGGACCGAACTATAGCTAGAAGGAAGAGTAATTTAAAGCTAATCAAGTTTGCAGAATTTCTATTAGCGCAATTCGGAGCGTCGTCTTCTGTCCAGTTGATCCTCACACTAAAATGTGCAAAACGCTACTCTGGGAGTGTGAAATATTCTGTGCTCGAACCTGTCGATCACATCATCCCTTGCTATCGCAAGACGGAAGTAATGAATGATAAGATGGTCGGACATTTCAGTGTAATGCGGTGATTCGGATCAGTGGAATCGATGGGGTTATCAACCGACCATGTGTGTGTATGGGAAGCGTGAAGATGACTGAGGGAAAAATAGGACATGAATTTGGGGTGTAAAAGTTCATTTTATCATTATGTACAACAGATTTTACTTCGGTTTGAATGGCAATTCCACATTCAGTTTCGAATAGGGCGGGGGGCTGGGAGGGCGTTTGGGTAATTCAGAACGTGTAATGGGAAGATTGCTAACCGTGGAAATGAAATTTGAAAGAGACAAGGAAAGATGAAATAACTCATTCGGCGTAGCAGGAAGAGGTATGTTGGAATTATTGGTGACTGTCAGGGAAATACTCCATACCCAAATAGCATTAAGTCGCCGATATTTGTATTCTTTCACAGATCTCATAATATCTGCGTTTGACTTAAAAGTAAGTCGTCGGGTGTTTGGAAATGCATCAAACAAGAACTCGCTATCGTATCGGATCCAACTCAATAGGCTCCGTGCGTTAGGACACGTTTTGTGTATGTCCGACGATCGCCTACCGCAGCGC